TTTGTAAAACGCTCCAAGATAATAATGTAATATTGACTTTTTTAAATTTCACATAAAATTTATTTAATCTACAAAAAAAGTTAGTTTTTGACGTACTTTCTTTATGGCAAATAACGAAAGAGCTACTATTTAAGTGTTTACAGATGAGAATAAATAATTGAAAGTGCAATATTTTTAATTTAAATCGTGATATTGGAGTAATCATAAAATTTTTTAGTTACTTCTTTATTTAATGCTTTTATTTAATACATGATGTGCTTGAACAGTACAAAAATTTAACAATTTCACGGTGAAAATGCTTTTTGAATAATTTAAGTAACTGAAATATCTTCAATATGTTTCCCTACTAAAGTAATGTACTCTATATATACAGAAGTCTAATACTGAAGAGTAATAGTATACATTTATATTTAACAGGGTATATCGTATTCAACAATGCGGATTAACTGAAAAAATTGATAGAGACATTCTTTATGAAAAAACAAGAATCGACTCCTTCTACGATGATAAGACAATCGATACTAATAATGAAGAACCTCTGAAAGTGGACGATATTACGGGTCTACTCTATTTATTACTTGCAGGATATTTGATTTCTTTTGTAGTATTTATTACAGAAATTCTTGTAAACAAGGTAAAAATGATTATAAGCAGAAAATGCAGTGAGGCCATTTCATATTGTTAATTAATTTTTAATTATATTTGTAAATTAAGGTAATAATGCTGTATCTGTTAAACTAGTTTCTTATTCTGATTAACATTCTTATTACATTCTATTTTTCTGAACAACAATACTCATAAAATGTGATTAATCAAGGTTGAGAGTTAAGTTTTTGATTTGTTTGCATGTAAATTAATGATCGAAAGCCAAAAATGTAGAGCTAGATGCTAAATGATAAACTATAGTTATATATTTAAATATACTAAAAAGCGTTGTTTCATAGTGAACATTGAAACACGCTTGTAATTAATTTATGTTATACGGCTTGTAATGGACAACGTATTTAGGTTTCATGTTTCGAATGTTGACATTAGTGGTTCGATTTGATTTTTCTTGGCACAACAAACAATCACGTGGTATTAAAGTTACTACTAGAGTTTGAGTAGCATATTAAATCTTTCTACGCGTATAATTTCTTTAATTCCCATTCTCAATTCGAGCATGTAACATGAAAGAAGTTACCTAACATNAGCTAGGTAATGTGCACATTAACGGATTTCGAGCTTTAGCGGTAACATATATAGATACTAAACCGAAATATTCGAAAACAAAATCGGATAACGTCACGCAACAATTAATGAACTTCATTTTTATTTTAATTGCAAATGACATGATATCCAATTAAAATTTTAATTAAAAATATTCATAAATTTTAACTCATTACTGATCCGTAACAGGTTAATACATCAATTTGTTTATTTATTTAATTGCTATTATCATTTTTACTTGGCTTTATGATAGAAGTTAGAAGCTTTCAGATCTTTCAATAACTCTTTTTTATTCACGATTTACAAATTAGAGTTATTCGTAAGTATAAAGATTATTTCGTATAAATATTTAATATTAACTGTTTTACTTTTTTTTTGCTGATATATCAAAACATAAAACATTAGTAATCTGCCACTATAGGTGACTTTCTATAGGAAATTATCTTTTATTTAAGTGTTAGACACGTGAAACACACCCAAATAACTCTACCTAACGAACTCGTTGCTTAGACACTTACCCATTAACAGCATTCACTGATATTGTCTTCTTTGTGTCTGGTGGTTACATGTAACGGATTTAAGTTGAACAGCAACAAGTTAAGACATCAAAATTATTATAGTACGTCTTTCGGCCAAAACGCTGAAAGTATTACTTCTTACACTTCTTTATTGCGCTGATTACCTATATATAGGAAATTTTTGCACATTTAAATATTGTTAGATATTGCACCATGAATTGGTACTTTGCCCACAAATAATTTTATAGACTGTAGCGATTACATCTCGTGGACACCTGTTAAAACACTGGCACTTTTTAATTTACGACTACATTTCTAAAAGTGGGCGAAAGAGTAACGAATAAAAACATTAATTTGAAAGTTAATACTTTAGAAATTTTTTCTATATAGTAGAGTATATGACATAAACTACGACATATAAATAGTACAAAGTCGAAAATACAGTTTAAGTATTGTATTATTAAATAACCCAATATATCTATTAATGTGTGAAAAAGTATTACTGCTCTTTATATTTAATAAAATTGATTCTTTTCAATAAACATTAAAATTGTTTATATTCATATGATTTTTCAATACCAATCACATAATTTAATGCTACCGTATGAGTTTACAAAACTATTTATTATGGCAGCAGTAATGGCAGATTATTATACATATCGGATTATCAAAAGTTATTGTATTTCATCAATATTTCATTTTCTTGTGATATTATTGGTAGAAGCTTCAATGGATGTATACAGCTTTTGCCAGATATTTGCGTTGTGCCTTTTACCCACTCCCGGTTTTATTTTTTTCAAACTCCAAACATACCTGTACGTTTCATATCTTAATTATTAATATGTATTTATTATTAGATATACTATGATATAATTAATTAAAAATACAGTCAAATCTTTGAATAATGGCCACTGACGACAACGTACAACACGGCCGACTAGTGGCTAAGAAGTTCAGTTCCTGAACACTAGGATTTCGGTTGCATGTTCGCTCCTTGCTGGAGCCGGCTGGCCACGTGGAGTTTTCCGGGTTTCCTCCACGTCCGTAACGCCTGAATAGGGGCCAGTTGCTTTTAGAAGTCCTCCCGGAAGGCAATATTCTTCAAGTATAAACAAATATATATCATTACTAACTATGTCACATTGGAAATGTATGTCACAACTTACCGCGTGGCACCATAGCCTAGTAGCTTTTGTTTAACATAGAAAACAAAACAAGATGTATGTCATTTCTGTTTTTCGGAGTTAACTACATACTAAAAACTTATTTGTATGCGTTTTTCTTCAAGAAAAACTTTAATGGCCTCTGATTAGAAATGTCTATTATTTGGAAATTCAATTGTATGTGCTTTTAATATAGATATTAAAAATATATATCTTAAATTTTTCATGTGTAATCTAGACATTAAGCTAATAAATGAGTTATATTACCGTTACGTTTTAGAATTTATAATACTTTTAACTAAACAATAAAATATCTAGCAGCATATTTCGTATTTTTTACGTTACCATTAGAAAGCGAGTGTTTAGCGTTATCCGTTATGATATTTTATGAAAAAATTTTTATATTTTTAATTATTATAACAACATTATGTTAATTTAAGCGTACAGAAACGTTGCTGTTGTTCCGACAAAAATTTTATTTTCACTTTACCGAGTGCCTAGTAGGTAATGTTCGGATTACCTAGATACTAGGCACATTACCTAGGTAATTTGAAGAATAGAACAATTTTAGCAACTTTAACGCATCACCCAGTTAATGTGAAGATTAGCTAGGTAATGTGCACATTAACGGATTTCGAGCTTTAGCGGTAACATATATAGATACTAAACCGAAATATTCGAAAACAAAATCGGATAACGTCACGCAACAATTAATGAACTTCATTTTTATTTTAATTGCAAATGACATGATATCCAATTAAAATTTTAATTAAAAATATTCATAAATTTTAACTCATTACTGATCCGTAACAGGTTAATACATCAATTTGTTTATTTATTTAATTGCTATTATCATTTTTACTTGGCTTTATGATAGAAGTTAGAAGCTTTCAGATCTTTCAATAACTCTTTTTTATTCACGATTTACAAATTAGAGTTATTCGTAAGTATAAAGATTATTTCGTATAAATATTTAATATTAACTGTTTTACTTTTTTTTTGCTGATATATCAAAACATAAAACATTAGTAATCTGCCACTATAGGTGACTTTCTATAGGAAATTATCTTTTATTTAAGTGTTAGACACGTGAAACACACCCAAATAACTCTACCTAACGAACTCGTTGCTTAGACACTTACCCATTAACAGCATTCACTGATATTTACGTAGGGTGTCTATAAAAAACCTTACATAATCATCATATAGTTTTATATAGGCTAGATATATAATTAAATATAAAAAAATTTAAAAACGAGGTNAAACATTAGTAATCTGCCACTATAGGTGACTTTCTATAGGAAATTATCTTTTATTTAAGTGTTAGACACGTGAAACACACCCAAATAACTCTACCTAACGAACTCGTTGCTTAGACACTTACCCATTAACAGCATTCACTGATATTGTCTTCTTTGTGTCTGGTGGTTACATGTAACGGATTTAAGTTGAACAGCAACAAGTTAAGACATCAAAATTATTATAGTACGTCTTTCGGCCAAAACGCTGAAAGTATTACTTCTTACACTTCTTTATTGCGCTGATTACCTATATATAGGAAATTTTTGCACATTTAAATATTGTTAGATATTGCACCATGAATTGGTACTTTGCCCACAAATAATTTTATAGACTGTAGCGATTACATCTCGTGGACACCTGTTAAAACACTGGCACTTTTTAATTTACGATTACATTTCTAAAAGTGGGCGAAAGAGTAACGAATAAAAACATTAATTTGAAAGTTAATACTTTAGAAATTTTTTCTATATAGTAGAGTATATGACATAAACTACGACATATAAATAGTACAAAGTCGAAAATACAGTTTAAGTATTGTATTATTAAATAACCCAATATATCTATTAATGTGTGAAAAAGTATTACTGCTCTTTATATTTAATAAAATTGATTCTTTTCAATAAACATTAAAATTGTTTATATTCATATGATTTTTCAATACCAATCACATAATTTAATGCTACCGTATGAGTTTACAAAACTATTTATTATGGCAGCAGTAATGGCAGATTATTATACATATCGGATTATCAAAAGTTATTGTATTTCATCAATATTTCATTTTCTTGTGATATTATTGGTAGAAGCTTCAATGGATGTATACAGCTTTTGCCAGATATTTGCGTTGTGCCTTTTACCCACTCCCGGTTTTATTTTTTTCATTTTTGTATCCATTTATCACTGTTTTTGTACAGAGATTTACACTCAACTAAGACTTTCATTTATTCGAGTGGTATCTTTAATACAGGACACATGAAAGATGGCAAATGCCTTGAAATGACTGATAAATAAAAAAAATGTTATATATAATAATTCGGATCTACAAGATAACAGTAGCGTGCCGTCAATGGAAGCAATGAAAGTTTCCTTTGTATTTTCTAAAATATACAGTTGATCTCCCCTATAACACGGTACATAATTCCGTATTGTACGAGTCACTTAGATTTTACAAATACTTGAGCTTTTCACAGCCCGGCACACTTATTTGTAAAATCTAAGTGACCCATACAACACGAAAGTCATATAACATGAAATTATCAAGTATTATAGGGGGTGTAACTGTAAATACATATTGCGCGATTATTTTCATATTTGAACGTATTTTGGATTAATTAAAATTAATATTTTATTATAACCGCATTATGTATCTTATTACAAATTTTTGTACTACACGTGAAAAGAACGTGTAGTATAGAAATTTATTGTATATTCGAATAGCTATCGCTACGCTATTGTATATTCGAATAGCTATCGCTACGCTATTGTATATTCGAATATCAGTGACAGAATGGAAGCGCTGTATTTCCGAAAAACCAGGTCAGCTTCCAGCCAGCCAGATTATACGCATTCGCGCATATGCTTTACATGGCACCAACCTCACTCGGTTTAGCTGGTGGAAGCTACACATAACGCTTCCAATGATTGTATTCCGGACCGATTCTGGGCTGTTAGCCGCCTGCATGTTAGATATTTGGTCGCTGTCTCCCAACTATGTGAATCACGAGTAGATTTATAACTAAATCCGAGCAATAGGAATTTACTGGTATGTTTTTACGATAGTTCTGTATAGTTGACAGGGGTTTTAAAAAATCCATTAAAATATTTTATATTTTTATTCCGCTCTCTCGACTTAGGGGAGACCGGGGCAACTTCGGCATGCGGGGCAAGTTTGTCAAGCGCTTTTTTTCAAAAACAAATTAAAAGAAGTCTTTGGTTATAGGTTAGGCAGTTGAGTTTTATTGGTGGCTTGTTGAGTGTAGTGTTTTTATTGTTCTCCAACAAGCGTCATTGAATTAATAAGCAAATTTTCATTTTCGTTCAATTCCATATAATATTTTGCTTCCATTTATATAGAATTAGCATGTTTTGTTATAATTTCATAATAACGAAAGTTACTTTTCCTGTTAGAAGGATGTAACTTAAACTTATTCACGTGGCCAGATCATAAATTGGAATTCTGTTCTCAAGGTTGTACTTAATGTTTCGAAATCATGACTAGCGGGGTAAGATCGGCAACATAAAGCCACATTAGAAGCAAAGGATACAAATTAAACAGATGATAAATGAAAACATGTTAGTATTTGTTATTCATGTATATATGTCTTTGAACTTGCATTTCGTTGTAATAATATTAAATAGGTGTTGGATTTGTATTTCTTTGTTTTAATAGTGAATTCCAACTTATACATTGTTAATAACATAATTTTATATACGTGCCTATCATGCCCCATTACTGTTGCCCCTATACCAGGGGCAACTTTAATAAAAATAATTGAAATAATTATAACTTTACAAAAAGATAGAAGTTGCCGAACTTGCCCCTATACCCGGGGCAACTTCATCAATTTCTCTCTTCTTGTAAAGTTGTAATTATTTTAATTATTTTTATTTTCAAACTGATTTTAACCAGTTCTATAGTAAGGTAACATTCCAATAGACAATATGCAAAGCTTTTTTTTCAGTTTACAGCAGTATTTATTACACAAAATTTAAGTAAATCTTAACATGCCGATCTTGCCCCGGTCTCCCCTATATTACTTGCAAATTTCAATGTTAAACCAGTAATATTACGATTTCGTACGCCCCATCTTTAAGGGGATGAAAAAAAGAAAACAAGTCTTGTTTAAAAATTAACTGTTACTTCGACAGCATCATTTACAACTAAATTTAATAAATGTGAGAGATGCACCAGGTACAGAAAAGGCTCTAGAATTTATTTTCCTTAAATTTACCATTTATGTATCCGTTTGTCATAAAAATTTGCCTTTCCTCTTTTTTCCTCGACTACAAATATTCGAGTACAAAGTAAACGGTTTCGACTTATTTCTACTTAAGAAGTAGTTAAATAATTAAGAAAAAAGAGAATTAGGGACATAAAACCCTGCTGAAAGAGCCAAAATTTTACTTACTCAGCTAAAGATTGGTTCTGCGAACCAATCTTTAGCCGAGCACAGTGGGGACTGATTTCTTCGTAATATTAGATAATAAAGACAGAATTTTTTCCAATTCCATGAAAATGATCGAAAAGTTGTAAATTTTGGAAATTTCCTTGGACACCTGGTCCTAAACGAGTCAGTTAGAAAACAAATGACTATTAAGTTTAACATATTTAGATTTTTAGAGCTATGGTAAGAAACGTTTAAAATTCACAACATTGAGATATACTAGTGATGCGACAAAAGAGGTTTTCACTTATCTGTTCTGGGGACTTGTCGGAACATACCATTCGATCGGTGACTAAAGCCTTTGATGACTCATTTTTGTAGCTGCGGGCACCACCCAAGGCCCTTGTTCCTGCTCGTCGTAGTAGGTAGAGGTGACCAATGATTGTACTTAGCGGGATCATTGATCTCTCAAACTTTAAAGAACGTATATGTTTTTTCTCAAAGCAAGAATTGGTATGTAGAGGGCATAAGGAATCTATTCAATCTTATAACAGAAGTAATTATATTAAACTTGTTTATTTATTACGTCAGATAATCTATTAAAAATACATTTAATGAAGTGTCCGGTTTTAACTGGTTTATCGAAAAACTAATAAGAATGGACCTTGACGCGCAATTAACTGATTGTCCCTGTAAATCGGCTTCTTGCATAAACACATCTTCCCTATCTTCGAATGTCACGGCAAGTCACTGCAGGATAAATCTAGATTGCTGAAATAAGGCGACACAACATCTAAATGATCTACGAAGGACCGGTTCCTACTAAAAGAACATTTCATTAAAAATGGATACGAGTTCTAATATTAGATAAAAGAAAATATGTAAAGCACCAAGTGTCTAAACGTTTGCCTGGTGACAACCCACGACAGGTAGTAGTACTATATTTAGTAGTTTTGTGATGAATGTAAAAATTAGTAGAATTAGACCGAGATTTTAAGAATATAATGAAATTATTTTCACAAATTTTCATACGTTGAAGGATTAGGCAGTCCGTTATTAATAAACACTGGATTGTCAACTTCCAAATTAACGAACTTGTACTGAAATATTATTTTTTTTACGTTTTAATAATAAACTTTAAAAAGTATGCTTTTTCAATATTTCTAATACATAAATTTTTTAAAATTATATTTCAGATATAAATACAATGAATATCATATTATCGTACGTGTCTTTCGTATATATATGTAATGAGACACTATTCAGTGAGTATAAATTCATACATAAATAGCATTAATTGCGATACTGGATTTTCCATAATATATCAAAACGAATATTTTCAGAAGACATACCCTACCTACTACATCAAAAAGGGGTGTTCACAAAAGTATCTTGTTTCAACGAATGGAGGCCAAAATACTTCGGAACAGTAACGATTACATTTCAATATGTACCAACATTCTGGTCTCAGAAACAGCTTGTTGACATTCGAATAAACGCTTCTTTTGTTGTTAAAGTTGAAGAAAAAATGTTAAAAATCGTAAGTACGCATCGCATTTGTAATTTAAATTAACCTGTGTAATTCTGAACTTTTGCTTTAGTGTCTCAATCCGGAAAGTTGTGAATCTTATCCATATAAATTTAAGTATAAAACAAAGATACATAGAAACCTTACTACGAATATATATTTCTCAGGTGTAAGTAATGTTTTAATAATTTTTAGTTAAGATATATTTTATAAGTTATAGCATATGCTCAATTAATCTATATCACATTTCCATTAATCTGAAAACCTTTCACAATCATATCAGAAATATTGTCTACCTGATTGAACCACTGATTGGTATGTTATACAAGGTTGTTTCAGTGCCCACAGAGTATAGTGAAAAACGCTGTTATAATACATATATGTATAACGGGTAGAAAGGAAACAATATGCCCTTCAAAAGCTTTTAGCACGAGCAGTGTTTAGCTTCACTGTACATTTTAAAAAGCCTAAAAACCTTGAAAACGAAAGTAAAAATACGCACATGAGTGCTATACAATAATACTGTATGAATTAAATCACATTGACATATTTTCAGTTTAAGCTACGTCAGAACATATACGGCTTTTTAATCGTGCCCATTATGAATTGGGCACGATTTTATAATAGAAGAGATTAATTAAACCTGACAATGCCTATATTAGATAATGTGAACACTTTCTAATTCTAACAGAGCACAGACTTTATGTCTATAGCAACCGTAATTATGTAGATCTATCGTTGGCACAAGAGAATGAACTCTTAATCCAATTAGTTAAAAATTGAATAACGACTTTTAAGTCTCACAACAGAAAACGCCCAATAATTATTAACTGCTTTCTATTTATAATTTAATAGGTGCATAACTATTTCAGTGCGAAGAATAGTACAGTATTGTCAGCATTTCTGAAGAACGAATCAATTCTCGCAAAAATCTTTAATTTGCTGAAAGGTAAATATGATTTTCGGTTTGTTGAAGAAAATTGTTTTCTTTTTTTTTCGTTTGCAAATTAACAAAATGTATTCTTATAATCGTATTTGTTTCTTAATAGTACTAATCTTGAACCGAATAATGAGGTAAGTGATGACATTTATTACATAACTTGTATTAAAAGAAATGTTAGATATTTTCGGATATAAATGGGGTAATATACGATAAATGTCTATATGAATCTATATTTATTTTTTGATATTAAACAAATATATTGTTTTGTAAAAAGTTCTGTATGCTTTGAAAGTTTTAATGAATCGGCTTGTTTTCTTTCATACCAATCTTTTTTATTATTTACAACAACAAAGGTTCTACGAATTCCTTGTGGCTATGTCTTAAGTGAGGAATTCATTTCTCCTGCTATATCAGACATTTCTGTAATTTTCATTATCAAAGCCGCGGAACCATTACACAAGTCCATTGCTCTGTTCAAGCCATTCAGTCTCGTGGTGAGTATTATCAAACATTTTTTTAATATCATCTTCTCCCCGTTTATACTATTTGAATATAATTTCAGGTCTGGTTAGTTGCTGGAGTAGCTATTTCGCTTTTAACTCTCAGTTTATTTCTGCTATTCACTTCAGAAGCAAATATGAAATTTGTGAAAGCTCCAAAATTGTTCAAAGTATTTTGGATTGTAGTGCGTTGTGTTCTTCGTCAAGGTAAGTGCCAGGTAATGATTTTCGACATGTGTTTCGTTGTTTTTGTTTCTTCTTCTCTAGTTAGTTAATGGCTGTTTAGATAAAATCACAAATTACCTTTATTTAGTGTTAAAATAAACACTTGTACACTTACCAGTTACAGAATTATTTCTTGCAGATATTAGAATAAAATTCATCAGATTGAAGACAAAGTACATGATTTTTGGAATTTGGATGTTAATGGCATTCGTTTTGTCTTCTGGATATTTGGGTATTCTTCCTTCCTTCTTGGTCTTTCCAGGGAAAGAAGTGATTCCGCATAATTTTGTTGAATTGTCCAAAGCTGTAGAAGAGGATAAGTATCAAATGGAAACTATCCATGATTCAGCGCCTAGTTTTTTGATTCGTGTAAGATATATTATTTACTTAATTTAGTATTCAATATTGAGTAAACCTTCTTATAAGTAATTTCGTAAATAACGGTCTCTATTATAAAAGCATTATGTGAAACCTACAGTTTTTTGGAATTTTGTTTAAACTATCTGATATATGTGTATTTCATTGTCTTTTTATGTTCTGTCATTTTGTTCATCAAACAATTGTTAACTTTAAGACACGATGCCCTTTGCAGCCAAACATCTACGAGCTTGATACCGGGGTTGTTTATGTTATCAAGTAGCGTTGAAAAGGATTTTCTCAATGTTAGAAATTTTTTCTTCTAAATTTTTAGCAATACAGATTAAAAATAATCAAGACAGACAAACTGAAATAAAAAGTAATCAACTAATTGTTACGAAATTTACAACATTCGGAGGAAATTACGAAGGAAATCAGCGTCATCCTCTTTTTCAACTATTGTTCAGTTACAGTTGTTACTTTATCCGTTTCTTGTACAGACAAATTACTCATACTAGACAAGAGAAAAAATGAGTAAAAATGACAAATTAAGCTTATTTCTAATTATATTAACTTAATTTGCAATAAAAGTATGATCGGTCAGTAAAAAATTAAACGAATGAGTATGACAAATATACAAGGGACAGAAAGGGAGAAAAAAAAAGAAGAACGGCGGAGAGAACCGTTAACTCAATAACATTAAAGAGAATCAAGATAGAAAGTTCAGTGAGAATATTCTTGCATCGCAATTATATTCTAAATATTTTATTTTGCAAAATGAATTTATTTCTTTGCTAACTTTTCTTCTAGAAAGGAACATTTGTTTATCTTATGTTAGATACACTGTTTGTCGAATAACATTTTACATAAAATCCATTTTGTAGCTAACCGTAATGTATTTCGATAGAACAGACAACGAACGTTATCGTATCGTCATCATAGTCGTTATATCGAAGGTCAAGAGCACTATTAAAGTTATCAATGTTCAGAAAGTAAGTTTATATTCTAATGCATAAAATTTCTGTTTTATTTATTATAGAGACTGATTTACTCATTAAATTTAAACAAAATGTTTGAATTTATACGGTCGCATTTTCTGCATCGTGGATTGGATACCTTAAGTAATGCGTCGCACGGATTACAAAACGTTTTATACAAGAAAACTTGTCTGCTCGCTTCTGGAAATGATATCAAACAGGAAATTCAGGCATTCGGCCCGGAAAAGTTCTTTGTTTCCACCGATAAGGTATACACCGAATACGAGTATCTATGTATGAAGAAATCCTTTCCATACATATATGAGTTTCGAAAAACGTAAGTATAAATAGGAGGCATATTCCTAAACCATTTGCAATTGTAATATGCAAAAAGCTAATACTACTTGCATAGATAGCCAATGCTTGGTTTCCTTACATCATGAAGACTATTAATGTCCGTTGTAACCAGCTTTGGCCATAACAGATCACGCATTTCATAGCAATCTGTAGGCTGGAAGCTCCTGTATAAGAGGTTTCTGCACAATTGACATAATGCGTTTTGTAATAGTAATGGAAATGCAGCAATAAAAAGTGAGTAGTTGTCTAAATCAATATCCAAAACAAACAAAATTGTCAAGGTCTTCATATATTTGATTATGGCTACTTGATTAACGAATCCGGAGATATTTAAATGGTAATACAGATTTAAATTTTTTTTAATAATTGAGCTACTCGGTTTAAAAAATGTGCCGAAAAGAAAGTACAGGAAGTAAGCTATGCCCTCTTTATTCTTCTCTAAATACATGTGGCTGTTTCTGGATGATAAGATAATATCTCAAACGTATGGTTTGGTAACACCACCATGTAATAGCCAAAGAAATGGTTGAATTATTCTGAAATGTGTAATGATTGAATGCATGTAACATATAAGCATTAAAACCACAAGCCGATTGCAAATCGTTTCCGAACATGCCTCCTACAAACTTTTTTAATTATTTTTGTTTCCTGATTATATTGTTTCTATTAATTTTTAGAATAAATATCATTCATCAATCCGGAATTGTTGAAAAGCTACAAAAAGATCAGGAGGAAGACATTCGAAGGAAAAGGGAATTTTACGAACCGGTTGAGGTAAAGGAAGACGATAAATTAAAATTTGTACACCTGATAGGTCCCATCTATTTATTGCTCGTTGGTTATTTGCTTTCGATTTTCGTATTTATCGTCGAACTTGTGTTTCATTACGAAATAACCTCTTTATCTCGCAGAAAGATAAAACATTTTAGAAATTCTCTGACTTTAAAAATAGGAATATTTTCCAGAAGAAACAGAAATTAATTTTTCAATTTGTAATATTGATATATTGTTAAATATTGTTTTCCTTTTGTGCGTTTCTAGAAATATTTAAGTATTTATATTGAAAATGTATATTTAAATATTAGCTCTTCATAAATTTAAAATTATTCAGCTACTCAATTAAATAAAAAGTTGTAGTACGGTTTTTCTCGTAAAATTAAAATGCTTCAGTGTATGCTCGTCCTGTAATGCTTTTTATAAAATGATAATAAGTATCTGTATACTATTGTTCTATTCTTTTAATATTAACAACTTGTACTCAAGCATATAAAAGTGGCACACCAGTGGCCTAGTGAATATTCACTGAACACTGGTAGTTGGTCGTGTGTTCGAGTCTCACCAACGGGTTGGCCACGTGAAGTTTTCCGGGTTTTCTTCACGTATCTATAACCTGAATAGGGGTCAGCTTCCCAAGAAAGTCCTCCCGGAAGGCGATTGTCTCAAATGCTAATATAAGTAAAAACTTGTACGTTTATGCATTACTCAATTCTAACAGTACTGTGTTTTATTCGTCTTAAAATATTTTCGTAGTTACAATTTCCTTCATGATAATGTTCGCGTTAATGTAGCTACATCATGTATAATAATTACTAAATATAGGCTATATGTGATACTTTGTGTAAAATCATACTATGTACCGGTACGTAACTCTTATCAGTGACAGAATTTATTTACCTAGAATATATGTCGTATAATTCGCAAAATGTGTATATCCTATGTTAAATAAAGTCAAACATTAAGCAGTCATAACAGTTTTGTTTTTCGTTGTAGTTAGCTTGGGCCAGCACTTTCAGCAGTAATATGTCACAAACGCAAGATTGTAAATGATTTATAGAAATGATTAAAGTGCGAAAAAAATGACTTAGTCTACCTTGGACTATGACAATTCTGTTCTTATACAATCTTGTGCATCAAATCCAGGAAGTTCCAGAACAACGCCACTACCACAACTTTCTAGCAAGATTTTCCAGAAACTTTCAAAACATATTAATTGAAAAAATTGTGGAAACTTCATTCCTATTAGAGAAAGTGAAAGGTCGCATCTAGTGAGGATAAGACAGTAGGGCCATACTATAAGCGACAAATAGTTTCATGTGAGGTAACGCTTTGTCCACTAAGTTAATCTACACATATGCAATTTTGTAGCAGACTCTAGGAAGGGAAATAGCTAGAGGCTAAAATTGGTAAAACGGTTTAGAAACATCTTCAAACTGCAAATTATAGTTGTCATAAACTATGAAACGAAACAAATATTTAGGCTATAAAATAAGACGGTTTTGTGATTTTATTCACAAATATAAAAGCATTTTTATAGAAGAATTTTTAACAAACATACACACGCCATGCCTACTTCATAATATTAGATAGAAATAATATAAATCATTCAGTTTCGATGCCGGAACTTTGTGATATGTTATGTAAATATCTTGTTCTTCTGTTATTTGCATACACGCATCTTTTATAGTTTGAAAATTATAAACAGATTTTTTATAATAAAAAAAGAGAATGTTAAAAAAATTTTTAAAATTTCACACTTTTCTATATTTCCCAGAAAATCCATTTGCCTGCCACTCATTTTCTACACATTTCTTACAATTTATAAACACAGTTTTTATATAAGCCATTTCCTACAATAGTTAACCTACAGAAATTTGAAAATTTTAAACATCTGTTAATAAATTGTCTATTCATTGTCTGTTAAAAAATTTGTGCTTTTGTTATATATCTTAACAGTAAATGTACAAGAAGAGATATATGTATATGACATGTGTTAATGTGAAAGACCGAAAAGACGAAAAAGAACGAAATGAGATTCACTGGTAAATGTCAGCATTCACACAGTTGTTTCGTGTATGTACGAAATATTTGCTAAATATTATTATTTCTCACTTACACCGACAAATGTCGACATTCAGCATGCGCTGATGTAAATGTTGAATAAAAATATTGTTTTTAGCATTTAGTCGTGGAACATTTCTTTTTGCAATTACAGCGTTTATAGCTTTGCATTTCACTTCTCAAAATAGTTGCAGCTGCTTCTTTCAGGGACATTTCTTACCTAACCTAATTTAGCCTAAATATAACCTAAACTTAACTTAACCTAACGTAACATTAATAACGTAACAAAATATTCGATCTTTCACCGAAGGTCTTTCGTATGTGTCGACATTCACCAGAGAATCTTGACATTTTCTAATTTCGGTCTTTCATTGTGACATGAACATATCGTTATATACATTCACTAATGAAAATATACATGCATCGCACTCTTTAGGCCTTTATTATTTTAGTACACTTTATGACATTTTAAATATTATATGTGTTTAGGGAAATTCGATCCAGAAATTATGCATTGTCATTATTTGCGATCAAAAATCTTTGTTAAATTTGGCATAGATAATAAAATCATTTGTTTTGTGTTATTTATTAGACATTATTTTTCTATCGAAATGTGCTTCAGTACTTAGTGTAGATTTTATTCAATAATTTTACAAGAAAGGGTTCAGGTACAGTCACAGTTATCATTGTTTTGAATTTCAGTAATATGTGTGAATGATATTTCTCAAACAGAAGGCAACTTTTATATCGAAAAATTAACCGAATTGTATGTTACACAATGCTTGCTACCTACTTTTGCCGCTTGTAGTGCATTTGGATATTTTCTAAGTAATACTTTCTATGTATTTTTTTCTTTTTCACATGTACGAAAATGACGACAGTAAAATTTTCGTTACGCTTGCACTGCTATGTTTCTTTTTTTCCATTAGCAGTAAATACGCGTAATTAATCTGTATTCATATAGACATGAAGAAATACCCAAGAAAACAACATAGTTGAATAACAAATCTACCACAATTTTACATTTAATTGCCGATTTAAATATTTTCTATCTGTCTAAACTGTTCGTGGTTCGAGATAGGGTCTTGTTAATACTTAATCGGCGTCTTCTGTTGTGGGACTTGAAGAATGTTTCGTTACTAGTGACCCCCAAAAAAATTTAATTCGAATCTTCGGGAGAATAAACTGAATTAAGACCGTATGTTTCGTTCATAACATAGTAAACGGTTATTTATTTTTTATCTGTTTCGATTCAGAGTTTATTAATCTGCCCCTCTGACAGACTCTAGTTTGAATTTAAGGGATGAACCTCAGAAATAATACATATGGTTCTGACACAAATATAGTAAGAGATAACCTCTGTCTCTTGTTATTTGACTTTTGTTGTACATTTGCCAAATCCATTGTGAACCATTGTATCGTTTCCACTAAGGAAATATGGAAGACTCCATACCTGACTTTTCGCAGGTATAGATTTTCATACCTCGGTATATTGAAAAAAAATATTTATAATTTGTTGCAAGGCAAGCCAAGGCAGTTACCCTCCGTATGAAAACAATTTTTTTTGGATTTTGACTAATGGAACTCTTACATAATTCAAAGAATCAAAATTTTTTTAACTCTAAGCAATGCATCACCATTTTGTTAAAGAAGGATTCTTCTGTCACAAAATTTCATACTTCAACTTTTAAAGAACTGACACCCATGATTGTGAATACTACTGAAAAATCGTATTGGTGCCCACGTAGAAAAAGAGCGTAAACTGATTATGTCAATGTGATTTAAGTCATACGATATTAGTGTATTGCACTTCATGAGCGTATTCGTGCTCTGTTTCTGAAGGTTTTTTCCGAGAAAAGCTAAACACCATGCGTAGTAAAAACTATGATACCGCTTTCTTCTCGTTATTCGCATATGTATCATAAGTTTCTTTTTCACTTTATCTACTCTGTATGCATTATTGAAAGAACCTTTTCTAACAGGACCGTGAGTGGTTCAACTAGGTACGAAATGATTCTGATTTGATTGTGGAAGTCTCTGAGATTAATGAAAACGTGATATAGATTGATTGTTTATATATTTATGGTGTAAATTATTAACTGTCTTAACTAAAATTATTAATACGTTAATTTCATATGCTATAATTATATTTACAGTAAGGTTCTTATGTATCTTTTTTTCGTACTTCAGTTTATATGAATACGATTCACAACTTTCCAGGTTGAGACACTGAAACAGAAGTTCTGAATTATACAGGATAACCTAAAGTTACAAGTTTGATCTGTATTTACGATTTTCAACAAGATCTCTTCAACTTTAACAACATAAAAGCGTATATTCGAGTGTCAACAAGATGAATCTCAGACTAGAATGTCGGTTTATATTGTAACTGGATCCTTACGGTTTCAAACTATCTTGTCTCTATGATTTGTAACAATACACTTCTGTGACCACCGCTTTTTGATTAAGTAGGTACAATATGTTACCTGAAAATAATTCTTTTCATATGTTTAGTAGTTTGATTACGTTATTTATATATGAATTGATACTCACTAAACAGTTTTTCATTACATACATATNACGTATAATTTTTTGGGAATAATCCATATAAACTATGCTATAAACAAATAATTGTAGGATTACTTACCAAGTGTGCACCGTTTGATGATGCCATTGCTTAAGCTTGTTCTCGTTGCGGATCGGTGCGTCGAACAGTGGGCGCATTTTCTGATAAGTTATTTTTCTGCAAAAAATCTGCTGAACTTTGGAGACATCATTAATATAAATATAATTTTTATGGCCGTTAAATAATAAATGGTTTTTGGTAGTTCTGCTGCTCGTTTAAACTCAATGGTTTGTGCAATATCTGCTATTGGTCTAGATTCGACCAATCCTGTCACAACATGAGTCGGTGATGACGTTTTACTGTATTTTACAAGTCTCTTTTAGCATGTTTATACGAATATGATTGCAATTTTTTCTCCGTGTTATACGAATCTGTATTATATGAACCCATGCTATAGTGGGGTCTACTGTACTTCATTTTTGTAATAGTTTAAAAGATAAGGTATTTAGAAGTGAATTTTGTTATGTAATTGTTTAGTTTTTTTAGATGTGCATTATAATAAATTTTTAAAATATTTTTATACTTTGTCTAATGGCAAGTCTATTCTTTTAAATAATTTATTTTGTTTATTTATTAGGACTTATGTTGCATTTCGTCCTGTGAGTTGGTTAGATACTTATTTTGATTTTCTTCAAAGTAAATCATGTTGCTTTGAGTATCCTAACAAAACATATTGTCCATCTATTAAAGGAGAAGGTAATTATACTTTCATATTTAATTAATAACATTTTTTGAGTATATAAAATTTGTTGTTCTTCATTTTAATTTCTACAATCTAAAAAAAATTAATCTTGTTATTTTTAGCATCAAAATTAAGATTTTCATTTGAATTTAAATAAATTAACTAAAATTCTGAACAATGACATTAAAAAGCTAAAATTTTGGTTTTAAACTGATATTTTTAAAAACCAAACTATGCAAATATAGCATATGTAATTTTAAATTTCTCTAGACAATTGTTAATGTCATGTATAATTATTACATTTTAATATTTTGTACTAAATTATTATTTTTGAAATTCTGTTTTATTGAGATTGTTATAAATGTTTGTTGTAAACAATTGCTCTTAATAAACCTATGAAGACACCAATAACAAACAACACACGAGAAATTACAATGAAAACAATTGTTTTCTTCCATATTAAATGGACATCTTTGGGTCAGTCTACAAAATAGAATAAATATTTAAAGAGTAGAACATAAATATGAATGAATTAAACTTCCTGCACTTGAAGATTTGCACATGGTCCATGCAAAACATATGCAGAGAAGAAGAAAAATAACTTAGCTGGCATAGCTTAGAATGTTCTATTCACAATTCTTTCAGACTGGACTAATAGTATTAAAAATTCTTCAGAGTACTTTCTAAAATAAAACTCCAGCACTTGTGTACTCATCTACAGACTAATGTTTTCAATCCTTTCCTCTGGACCATCAGGTCTACAGTTTTTTAGAATCTGAATGTTTTTTTATCATCTTTGCAAATGTTGCTTTTCAAACATCATTGGTTTTTTTTAATGTCTTCTATTTCCCATATATGTTTAAATTTTATAATCTTTCAATGACATCAATATAATCATTTAGATTCTAAAAAACCATAGACCTGACAAAGATCCAAAGAAAAGGATTGAAAACATTAGTCTGTATATGAGTAAGCAAGTACTGGAGTTATATTTTAGAAGATACTTCATAAATTATTTGAAATTACAGTAGAGCGTCGTTTATCCGAAAGCCGGTTATCCGAAACGTCGGTTAACCGAAAGCATTTCAGTCGGCAAATTTAAATTTTCGCTAGTGCTGTGGCGCTGCAATCTTTGGCTATATCTTGGGCTACTCCAATATTTTTTTTGTTGGTGTGTGTGTTTTAGCAGGCAGCCCTAGCATTTTTGTGTGGTGTTTTTCTGAGGACACTGTGTTGTGCTGAATCGAACGTTTTTGATACTAGATCAACTTCTAAAGTATATATTTTTTGGTTTTTATATTTTTCAATATATTTATTTCGTTTGTAAAAAATAAAGAAATAATTTTTAATTATACAATAGCCACGATTATTATTTTACGTTAGGCTTAACATCAACGAAAATTCAACGTGAAACGACATGCAACGGAGAAAAATTTTAACACAGGATAAGTTAATATATTTTTTCATACATAATCGGTTATCCGAAAAATAAGTTATCTGAACAACCTCAGTCCCCCAATTGATTCGGATAAACGATGCTCTACTGTAATTGAAAAATCTCATAAATCATGTGATGCATGAAGCATGCACAAGTCCTTGTGCACAGGAAACTTAATTCATTCATATTTATGTTCATTTCTGGTTTATAAATATTCTATTTTATAATATAGTGATGGACAGCACGCTAATCATTTATTACAAAAAACTTTTACGATATAAGCGTTAAATTAAACACGTATGTTAGTTAAGATTGGAATGTTTTTTAAAAATTTTGTATTCAAAAAAAGGTTCTTATACAGTATCTTCTAATGACCTGAAGAAGACAAAAGTGTGTATCGTCGAAAGCGCTCGTCAATTTAGTGACATACGTGTTTAACCCGTCGGCACGCGCGTGCTCCGTCAAATAGAAATTACGCGCGCTCGGTCAATTGGGCACCAAATTAAAAAATTAATTAATAAAAATTTAGCGTCGTAAAACGAGTATTTTTACTTTAATCCAGTTTTACAACATGTTTGTAGTCCAATTTAGTCAAAAAACTTTAATTTTGTTATAATTTTGTTGATGATTTTAATTTTTTAATATTAGAAGGTAATTAGCATAATTTACAAAGTGTCGTGTTTCATCTTCGCTCCCGTTCAAGTTTATAGGCCTAGATACGCGCCGATGTTTGTTTTTACTTTTACTGGTGTTTCCGCTTTTATTTCATCCTCGTCCGTATTGGATNGTATGATATTATAATATTTATTGTAATTACATCTAAAATATTATTTAAAAATTATTTTTTCTATATATATATATATAAATGGACGTGTGTGTCCTTATATTTCACTTTTTAGCCAAAATTACACATGAATGGCGTTTGTATGTGGTAGTAGCCCCAAGTCTCTATTCGTTCGCTATGGTGGTTGCGTCTCGATAGCTATAAGAATGCTTGAGATTCGGGCTTGAAAGTGGTTGAAAGTGGAAAATTTTCTATTTTGATTTTAAATATTTTCAAACCGTTTTAAAGTCGAATTCGAATTTGTATTCGAATTGTTTCGATTATAGAACGATTGTAAACATTCCAGAAAATTGATAAAATTGAAAATAGTTCGTTTGACTAGACGTAAAAATTCTCTAATTATTCTGGAACCGGGGGCCAAAATTTTTGCATTCTGTGAAAACGGGTAAGATTGGCTATAATGTAATTATCTTAATCTTCACTATCGTTACTTTTTACCCAGAAATAAAAACCCAGCGAAGCGAGTTTTTGCAGCTAATATTATAAATATTGAATGGTCATATATTGAAAACTTTTTTTAATCAGTTTTTTCTTAAATATAAGATCGGATATTAGTACAACCACATCAGCTTAACCACATCGGATATTAGTACAAATTGTAGAAATTATTATCGTATATTAATTTTATATGAAGCAATGAATTGAACTGAAAAGTTTTCTAAATATGAAAATTTTTTCGTAAGAAATAAGTTGAACAGTTTACTAAATATTAAAATTATTCATAATCTTAATTTTCTCCAGAAATTTTTGATCTGAAAATAATTTATATCCTGAAAAATTACAGTCGACCCCCCCTATAAGACGGTAGATACGTTCCGTCATTTATGAATCGATTTCTTACGAGTCCTTGCCAATTACAGCCTGACACGTGTGCACTTTACGGACTACAGCTGTTTGAAAAGTTTTCTTCCATAAAATGAATTGATTCTAGATTAATCCGACTTAACATTTCCAAAATACGTATATTTTTGGGGGGATAATCAGTATAAACTACGCTATAGACAAAAAATTGTAAGCTTACTTACCGAGTGTGCACCATTAGACATGGCCATTGCTCAAGCTTTTTTTCGTCGCGGAACAGCTCAGCAAACCGCGGCCACGATTTCTGATGTTATTTTTCTGCGAAAACTTTGTTGAACTTTGGAGACATCATTAATATAAATAATTTTAATCGCCGTTGAATAAGAAATGTTTCTTTCACACGAAATGTATAAAATTACAGTACTGTATTAGACTTACGGTACCTAATTTACATACTGACCAGACGATAGTTCGCCTAAACTCTCCGTAGCGTGGCGCTAGACGGCGGAAAGTATATATATAATTATAATAAAGTTACAATAAATTAAGTTAATATATAATTATATGTACAGTACCTAATTTATATATAATTTATATATAATTATATGTACAGACAAAACTAAACTCAATTTACCTGACTAAACTGTCTGTAGCGTGGCGCTGGACGGCGGGAAAGTAGTTCCGCTGCCCGATGACGTTTTACCTAATCATATGAGTTTTTTTACCGTTGTGTAGGGATAACGCCACAATTTTTTCACTGTCTTATGGAAATCGTAATTATAGGAACTCGTCTTATAGGAGAGTCTACTGTAATTTTAAAATTATTACGTGTAGAAATGTCTTGCTTTAGATAAACTGAAGGAAAAAGTGGAAACACTTAGATAAACTGTAACGTAAAATCAATAATTTTTCCAAAATAATTTGAGTAATATATTATTTCAGATTGTCATGTACCTGAATATTAAGACAAATATCCATCAAGAAAATAATTAATTCTAGTATTGATAATAAAACTATTACTCGACAAATTATTTGTAATCTTAATTTATAAATATGATTAAAACTTAATTAACAATATTGAATGGCCTCACTCTGCATTTTCTGCTTGTAATCTTCTTTATCTTGTTGTTGACAAGAATTTCTGTAAAAAATACTACAAAAGAGATCAAATACCCTGTAAGTAATAAATAGAGAAGGCCAATAATATCATCTATTTTTAGCGGTTCTTCNTTAATGCAAAATTAAATATAAAATTAATAAAATTAATAATTTTATCGTACTAGTGTGAACCGCCAGGGAGGTTGGGAACTGTTGACTCTCCCTGTATGGACAACAGGTCGTTAAACCTGCTCACTTGTCAAGATGGCTAAAGTTTTTCTTATTGCCGGTCCCCAGGGTCAGGGATGCTCAAATGTCAGGCGAGTGGAGGGAGCGTATTTGGGGTCGATGATAAGGTGAAGGACATAAACAAGTAAAGGAGTCTACCATTTTAACAAGAAAAAAATAAGAATTTACTGAAATAAACAAAATCGACAAAAAGACTACACAAATCTATTTCTAGACCGCCTAACAGCTCGAGAGAGAGTGTACATACTTTTCATACCTCTTTGTATGGTTCCTAGGCGAGTAAGTCCATGTAGGCACTTAATTGTTCAATAAAAGGTGGTTTTAATCCAAATGCACAATTATAAAAAATTCACGACTTTAGAGATGATCAGATCTCGATGATCGTAGATCGGAATGTCAGCGGGTTCAAAGAATCGGCACGATGTCGTCGGTCCGGCTTTCGTTAAGAGACTCCCCCGAGAGGGGGTAAGAACTGTCTTTTATAGCTTTTTGCGGGGAATTTCCATCACGTGATCAGATGTTCATGAGCTAAAGCTTATAGGTGTTCCAGGGACCTAAACTAAGTGATGAAAGTTGGATGCTAGCTATAAACTTTTGTGCAAGACAAGCTGCAATACATATACATAATTCATAAATAAAATATAATTTTTTTGAGATTTGTAAATATTACAAAATTTTTTTAAAATAGGAAAGTGATGTATCTTTTACAATGAGTATAAATTCTCTAGTAAGAAAAGTATATGTTGTATGTAATTATATGCACGTTATTGCTTTATTACAAAATTACAGTAAAATTTCATTATTCAGGTACCCAATAATCTGGAATTGTTCGATAATAATTCAGCATTCCTAGTCTATACTAATATTATAAAGAGGTAAAGTTTGTAAGTTTGGTGGTAGGAGGTAATTTCCGAAACTACTCATCCGATTTCAAATATTCTTTCACCAATATTTAGAATGGACCTTCAGGGTGGACATAGACTGTATATTATTCTGTTTAACATTTATATAAATTAAAACAGTGTTTTTCAACCTTCTTGAATACGCGAACCCTTTACAAGTTAAAAACTTCTGGCGACCCCCAGAGCCATATTAAAACTACGGTATATCAGTGATTTTAAAAACTACATATTTAATTTTCTCTGTTGAGACCTAAATATTGATTGAAAAATCAATTGTACTGTAAAATAAACATATACAGCCTTCTCACTGAAATTGTAGTGTTTTTTTTTTTTTTTATTGTAGTGTAGGACCTACGAACACTTGTCTTTTTTTACCCACGAACCCCTTGTAAGGCTTTGCGAACCCCTGGGGGGTCGTGACCCACAGGTTGAAAAACACTGAATTAAAAGATATCATCTAGGTAAGCATTTATATTTTTGGTGTCAACAGGTGGCGAGGGGCAAGACACGTACGTATACGAGATAGGTAACCTTGCGGCGTGGTCGGCGAGATACGCAGTGCATGTGTGTGAACTTGTATATTATGTAGATGTAGAAATCCCCCCCCCCTTCGCAGGGGAGAGGGACAAAATTAAGGCTTACCGTGAAGCACTTGGCTTCTATTACACTATTTGAGATGCGGTTTTTTGCGTTTTTGATTGTGTTTTAATAGGGTATGTCAAGAGAATGTACACTAGAAGGGATTTTTTAAAATTCCTTATTGTGGGGAGTGTTATACGTTTATAATAGATACATTTTGAGCCACTGCAACGCATGGCCAGGTACAGCTAGTATTTCATAAATTGGATTTGTTTGGACATATGAAACACTAAAGATCTAGGTGGAAATAATATTATGCACACATGAATCATTATAAATATTGATTTTATGTAATAATGTGTTCATTAACATTTTTGCAGGTTTTATCAATCAATCATAATGCAGTATAGTTGTGCATTGTATCAACTTCAGACTGATTAAAGAGGATGCACTGATACAAAACATAGTAATATTTTCACAGTCAGATTGCATATAATTTATGACATTTTTATAACTTGTAAAAATTTGATAATTTTACACCATTCTGGTCCTGTAAGTGCCAGATTAACAGGCTTCTACTGTACTATATAAATTACTGTATGTTCATTTTTCTGAAACATATTGGAATTCTATTTTTTTTTAAAGATACTTTCTTGAATTTAAATAAAGTACTTGAATATTTGCAATATAAGCAAAAACATTGCTTATATTGAAGTACAATTCAAGTTGTGTAAGTATGTTTATTTTCCCCTTTTTATGTAGTGTACTTTATATTGTCAAATAGAGTTTTGACCCTTGATGATTGCTTTTTTCCTACATTTATACTGAATGCACAAAACAAGAATGATGAGTAAACATAATTTACTTCTAGTCATTTTCTACAGATGTCAAAAAGATAAATTTGTTTAATAATTATTCTGAAAATATCAATCTTGTTGTTTGAACAAATGTTAATTTAAACATATCAATTTAAATTTATTGTTTTTAAGTATACACATTTAAAATAATTTAAATAACTTTTTGAATTTAAGTTAAAATTTCTTAAAAAATTTAGTGAATATTTGTAATTCTTAATTTTTTTTTCTTTCTTATTTTATTTCTAATAAATACAATGCTTTTGAAGCATAATATACATAATATACAATAATTACTGTCAGTGAACTAAAATATTTACAGTAATAAACAATATTCTGTGAACATTATTTAAAATGGCTATTACTCATGATTATATTCTCAGCATAATAGTTCTCAATATAGTTATATTATGATAATGATGATAAAAATAAATAAATCTTTTATTAGTTGGTAAGACTGATTTAAAAATTAAANTAGATAGTTAAGCTGCCATATTGTAATAATTATAATAAATTAATTTTAATTTAAAATTTCTGGAAGAAAAGAATAGACCCAGAGCAGGACTTCAGTCTGTGACTTTCACATACTGTGTAGATGCATTGCTAGTTATGCTATCTGGACCTCCATCCAATCTTTGTTTCCAGAACTATTAATTTAGATGTAATCAGACAAGTCATTCATAGTGTTGACTGGAGACAACTTAAATGCCCACAGTCTTCCTCCTTGGCACACTGCCAGCTATCTCTCGCATGCACGCACGCACATGGTGAATCTTTGTATCTAATTATTAACTTTACTGAATTATTGAGTTATAATTATGCTGATTGTCTGGCTTGACTATTTTATCTTCAATATGAATGATTGTTCTATAATTTAGAAGCCCAAAGTATCTTCTTAATTCAAGTGAAAATATTTAGTTACAAATTTAAAGTCTCTACTAAAAGTTTGAATTTATACTTATATTACATGCTTCTTTAAAACAGTCATATTCCAAAATTCTCTTTGAAATTTTAGATATAAGAGGATATTTTGCTAATGAAAAAAGCCATTAAAAAATCTGAAGTCTTTAATTTATGCTTTTAAATAGATAAGATTTTGACATTTAAAAATATTGTAAATTATCTGCTTGCTTTAAAAATAATCATATTTTTTTCCAGCCTTCTTCTGTTCTAGTTGCAGTATTCCACGTGGAGTTCGTCCTGATGGTGAAGAATTTATGGAAAAATTACCTTATTTCCTAGAGGATGTTCCTCATAAAACATGTTCTAAAGGGTAAGCTTTCTGAAGTAATCTTATACAGGAAGTATTAGAAAAAAATTTTTATATGTAGTAGAAGCTTCATATCTGTACATTTTTCATGTTTGTGGTTTGGTATTGTAACCATGTGTGTATATTATAAAGCTAAAAATTTGTATATTTGTGGAATAATTAACAAAATGATGTTAATTATTCCATAAACATCCATAAATAAAAAAATAATTAATAAAATTGTTTTTCATAGATAAATTTTTTATGCTTTTATCTTGTACTGCAGTTTTCATATTTGTTAGATTGTATAATTGTGTATTATTTGAGTTATTTTTAGCAAATACACTTTTATGGATAATAAACATTATGCTTTATATTGATATGGTTTGTGATTTGAGTATTGTTTTATAAGCAGATTTTAATTAGTTTTTCTTTTATCCTTAAAAATCAGCAATGTTATCCAAACACAAATTTCAGTGGCAAAATGTCAAAAGGGTCAAAGCAATTTTCTCAAAGACAAAATTAACATGTTAGAAATATTGTTTCAGGAAGAAGCATTGGCAACTATAGTTAAATCATCATCATAAGTGAATCAACCATATATTAAAGGGAAAGAAGAGAAAGCAGAAATGCAAGTGTTGACTTCCTCTTGGGAATAAAAAATATGAGCAGTTTCAAAGATTCAGTTATTGAAAAATTGGGGAAAACTTTAAACATCTGAACTCAAGATCAATTACAGAAGAAAGTCCTTTCCTTTTGAGTCATTCTATTATCCACAAAAGCCCTGTCTAATTATTTAGTACATGCACTAGTCTAGTCAGATTGTCATATACTTTCCTGTGGCTAAAGAAAATGAATTAGTCTGTGCCCATATCTCTGAAATTTAATAAGGCATTCTGTATATAACAATTCCTCAAAAGCTGATTTTAATTAATTAATGCCAAATGATAATTTAATATAGCCTAAAAGTAGCCCAGTAATTCGGCTGAATGTTTGTATTAAATAAGGTTTTCTTGCAATAGGTTTACATTCTTTTTCATTTAGGATTATTACAATCCAAAATGAACTTCAGTTAAAACTGTCCAAAATGGCTGATATTTTGATGATAGTGAAAAGTTATGAAGTTAGCTCTCTGGATCAGAGAACAATGCAAATGATCTGGTTCTGCAAGAAATGTTCTCTCATGAATTTATCAGATTAGAAATTTTTAACATGACATTTAAAAATTTCTGATTTGATAAATTCATATGATGCTTCTGAAGGATGATTTCAATAAAATATTAGAAAATAAATACATAATATAAAGTTTATAAGTGAGAAATCTAAAATTTAAGAAAGAAATTGAATATTGATTTGTCTATTAGGTACTATAGTACTACTACCTAAGAAACAAAACAGGTGAAAAACAGAGTAAATAAGTACAGGCTAGATATAATACCTTTAATTTTTTTATTTAAAATAAAATAAACAAACTCTTTGTAAGAAAATGTGTGTTTATTTTTTAATCATGTGCATTTTCAATGTGTTTCTTTGTACTCATAGTAAGTTTGTGGAAAATAATTCCTACAAAAATGGAGCTTCTACTGTGTTACAAACTGATTGTAATGACACCAATAGTTGCCCATTGAAAGATGTTGGACTTTAATATTTTTTATTGCAGTGTGTAGTTACATAAAAAGCAAAATTCAGATATGAAAATAAAGTTTGTTCTATACTTGTAATGGAAAGAAATGTTTTATTAGATCTTTGTTTAAATTATTTTTTTCATAATGTAATCATGGGCTTGTTCACCCAGTAGTTAGTCAATGTGGTTTGCATGATTGTTTATGGCAGTCAGCTGGGTTTTCTTTTATCAAAAGCCTCACAAATGTGGCAACTGTGAAAGGATAAGCAAGCTCAATAATAGGTATTTTGTAGAAAATGTGCACCTGAAACAGTGGAACCCTTATTATCTTAAAAGGCCTGAAGTGGTCGACTACCAGAAGGAGTGCGCAATAATTTTTCCTATCACAATGAGTGAGACAACCTGTTATTACATGTCATTGAGAATGGGGTCATCTTATGATACTTCCTGTGAATATGGCTCATTTAAACCTGCTCCAGTAGACTGATTACATATGGATTTCAGCTTATATGGTCAACTACTGAAAGTGGTCAACAATAGGAACCCCTATTCTAATTCACTTATTGGAAATGTGAATAATTTTGTTTGTAAAAAATATACTTGATAGTTTAAAATCTCAAATCACATTTATTTAAATTTTGGATATATTAATTAGTAATCATGCTCTATATTTAACTTGATTATAATTACAAAAGTATACTGTAATTATCTTGCATATTATGAAGCATGATATGCAAGATTGATCTTGGAATTATTGCATTTTTGCTTTTGTCTTATTAGACTCTCATGTTTCAAAAGTGTTTTTATCAGGATCACAAATAGTTTTTTTATTTTGCTGAAATTCTTCTGATTTTTCTATCAAAATAGGATTGAGTAAAAAGTGCTTAATTTTAAGATAATGGCGATTTTAGTATTAATGAACTAAAGATAAATGACAAATTATTTTTAAGTTATGCCCTTTATCTTTAATTCATTTAATTTTTTTTAAGTTTATTCTAATTTTTACGTATTAAAAATATTTTAATTATTTTTTTTTATCTGTATTAAATTTGCTTTAAAACCTATTTTTTAAATGAATAATAATAATAAACTAAATGTTAAGTTTACAAATTTTAGTAATATAATAATTTATTAAATAGTAACAATAAATTTTTAGTCTGTCTGTGGAAAGAATCAACTTGAGAGCAACATTATGCGTGATGTCATTTCAGTTAGACCAATCGGCACATTCCCTAATGATGTCAACACTTTTCACTTAATTTTCAGGCAATATGTGAATTTTGTTTTATTTTCTTTCACTAGATGGCAGAACAACTTTTCCATTAATTGTGTTAATTTTTTATAATCATGCATTTAACTACTACTGTAATGAACTTCCTTGTATTCCAATATCAGAATATGAAGCTTCCATAACCCTATTTATAATGATGATGACATGTTTAGCAAATGATGAAGAAACCAGAAACAACTTGCCACAACTAAAGAAACAATGGCTGATGCTCATTAGTTAATACCAAAGTTGATTCTTTCCATAGACAGACTATATATGTTTTACATTTTTTCAAAATTGATTGTTAAATTGCAATTTATTACAATGTGTGAGTATGTATGTAGGCATATATTCACAATTAATTAATTTTAAAAAATTGTAGTCTGTTCAAAATTACTTTGAAATATAATTAACATAAGTACTTTCTCAGTTTATAACTTGAAGTTGAATTATATAGAAACAAGCAATTGTTTATTGTGATATTGTTAGTCACAGGCTGCAATTTTTCGTCACAATATACCTATATTTACTAGCATCTTGCCTCTGTACATCATTCTTTTCCTGTTAACAACAAAGTTATGCTGTCATCTATCTAGCACTGTTCAGGGGAGAATATTTGAATTGAAATTATGTGACTTCTTGCCCAAAGCAAAAGTTTTTATATAGTTAATCAGGGCCTCTTGCCCCTAAGCTTTCCATATCTGGTTTTGGCTTTACCTATCTAACACTGTTCTTGAGATTAAGGAAGAACAGATGTAGAGTTTATACGTTTACGATTTTTATTTCATAAGCTTGGAATTTGGAATTTAATGGAATTTAGAACAATTCTGATGTCTATATTTGCTTGCATTCTAGTTTCTGTCCTTTTCATTGAAATAGTTGTTTTCAATTGCAGATCATAGTTTTTTTAATTATTAGCAATGTTTAGTGAGTACTTAATTCTGAGTTTGATATTTACTGTACTATTAAAAATATATGCAATATTAATGACAAATTCATTTGGATAATCTGCAATAATTTTCAGATTTGTTCAGATATTAAAATTTAAGCATATGCAATATATAAATTATTTTTATAATTAATAAACTTAATGTATTTTTAATATATAATTCAAACTGTTCACTAAAATCAAGTTTTTAAACATTTCATTTAACTTTAGAATTTTATGGATGGAATGAATTAACTTTAATTATTATGACCTATTGTTAATGTATTTATATAAGTTTAAGAATAAAATAATTATGAACTATTACTTTTTTATTTTAGAGGAAAAGCACAATTTGCGTCATCAGTTGAAATAATTACAAAAGATAATGCAACTGAAATTGGAGGTAAATTATATTTATAAAATTTCTATGATGACTATATATGTAGCTCTTTTAATTACATATATTACTTTAGGGTTGGATATTGATTTTTGAATGACAATTTTTTTATTCATTATGGCTATGGTTATTTCTTATAGTTGTATTATTGGCTGCCAGATAACCCAGGCACTAAAGAGCATTTCATTCTCACTGAGAAACTTGTTTTCAAGTTCTTATTAATTCTCAGGAATTTTTCAGAGATTCAAAAATTTATAAAGCTTACAACTCAGAAAGCATAAATATTCTTACCATTCTTTATTCTGCCATCACTGTTATGATTTCCTCAGTTTGTTCTAGTTGTTTTATTTTTAATTTTATTAATTTATAGTACATCATAAAGACATTTCTTTTGATTGACACAAGAACAGTAATTTATAACCTTTGGTTAGCAATCTGCTTCATAAGCAGGAAATGCAGAAAATAATACTGTATAACTAATATTATAAAGAGGTAATGTTTGTAAGTATGTAAGTAAGTTTGTTTGCAGCAGGTAATTTCTGAAACTACTCATCCGATTTCAAAAATTCTTTCACCAATATTTAGAATGAAACCTCAGGGTGGACATAGGCTGTATATTATTCCGTTAAACATTCATATAAATTAAAATATATAATCTAGGTTAAGGCTTTTACGTCCCAACAGATGGCGCTACAAGTACGACGCCCTAAGTTTGCTTTTCTGTGAGGCATTATGCTTTTCTATGAAAATGAACTAAAGCAGATCATCTTCTATCTATCTATATAAATAAAAATGTAATGTTCGTTTGTTCCTACTGATTCCTTTGAAATTTTGACACAACACTGCATTCGAATACACACGTGTTTTTATATAATATACGTGTCGAAATTCCTCACACTGAAGGGAGATGGTTAGGATTAAGGCTTACCGTAAAGAACTCTGCTTCTATTTATACTATTTTAGATGCAGTTTTTTGCGTTTTTGATTGCGTTTTAATAGGGTACGTCAACAGAATGTACACTAAGAAGGAATTTTTTGATATTCCCCCGCGGGGGAGAGGGACAGAATTAAGGCTTACCGTGAAGAACTTGGCTTCTATTATATTATTTTAGATGAGGGTTTTTGCATTTTTGATTGCGTTTTAATAGGGTACGTCAAGAGAATGTACACTAAGAAGAAATTTTTCAAAAAATTTTTTCCGTATGGGGGAGTGTTATACATTTATAATAGATACATTTTGAGCCACAACAACGCATGGTGGGGTCTGCTAGTACTGTATAATCATACCTATACTACAAGACCAGATGTATAATAAATTAGATGAGGACCCTTGGCAGAATATAAGAAAAATATTAAAACAATTGAAAAATGATTATTTTATTGAGAGGAGATTTGGAAAACTACTGAAAGAATATAATAGGCCTTTCAAATTAAGAGTGAAAGCACATGAGATCTCTGTGCAATATTCACTGTTAATCGATATTTAATATTATTGTACTGCATGGCTTGAAAAGTTTGTATGGAATAAATTGAATGAATTTGAAACTTTAGTGTTTTAGTATTAAAAATACTGATAAAGTAATAACAAATTTAAATATTTTAAGATCATTTTTCACCTGCCATTCACAGAAGGCTTTTCTGACTTCATGTTGTCATCACTTGTTCATATCCTCTTCTGAACTGTTGAATTTTCTATAGTAGAGCCTCACCTCCACTATATTCTTTCATTGTTTGATAGTCTTTAGCCGATAATGTTAAATGGAGTTAAATCTTTGAAAACTTTGACTGGTCAGTTCAAACAACAATATTCCAAACTGTTGTAGTGACATTTCTCAAGTGATTAGGACACTAGGAACGTCTCATTTTATCATACAGCTGTATACAGATCCAATCTTTTGTATTTTTAAAAAAATTAATTACTGCATAATTCTTAAATGTTAAAATTCTTACTCATATAGATTAACAAAAATGAAAAAAATCAACATTTTAAAATGTAAAGTTCTTTTTTTTTTGCATAGAGAAACAAATTTTTAAATAAATTTGCATTAGAAAAGATTAAAAAGATTATCATTTTTAAAATTATAACATTTTATTATTTAATAATTTTAATTTTTTTTTTCATGATTTGTCATATTTGTATAGAACTGCAGATTTAAGTTGAAACTTTTTTATTTAAATTTTTTTATATATAATATTTGTATTTAATGATATAATTCGCTTATCTTTTTATAGCAACCAATTTTATGACTTTTCATACAATTCTAAAGTCATCTAAAGACTTTTATGAAGCATTAAGATGGTCTCGTCAAATTTCTGAATGGATGACTGAAAAACTTCAAAGAAATAATACTTCAACTGCTAAAGTATTTCCTTACAGGTAATTTATCATTAATATCATCAATTATTTCATGTTTTTTTAATGTAAAGCTAAATAAATTTTTTATTTTCTAGTATTGTCCATGTCTTTTATGAACAATATTTAACAATGTGGCCTGATACTTTGAAAAGTCTAGGATATTCAGTAGCTGCTATTTTTATTGTCACTTTCCTATTTTTGGGTTTGGATTTACTTTCAGCCTTAATTGTCATTATAACCATTGTTATGATCATAATTAATTTAATGGGATTAATGTATTGGTGGAATATTTCATTAAATGCAGTGTCTTTGGTCAATCTTGTTGTGGTAAGTGAATTCTCTTTATCTTTTTAAGAAATATTAATAATTATAATAAGTCAGATGCCTTAACTATATCAATATTATAAATCAAATATGCAAAATTTGAGTTAAAAAGCATCACTAGTTGATAAACCTAAATTAGAGAAATCTATGGTATGACTCTTAAATTTAAAAGTCAAAGTAGAAAAGTATTATGTAAACCATTACTGGATATTGGATTTATTAGATTATCCAATATTCAGAAAAGAATCCAATAAAAGAAAATTAAAGAGAAAAAATTAAAATCTGATTATAATTCTGGCCTCTGATTTGAATTATTTTTAAACTTTTAATATTAAATGTAAAGCAAATGATTGTTCCAAATAGTTTATTTTAGAATTTAAAATTAATTTTTTTTTTGTCTATTTTCTATCACATCATTAGATAAATGAATTTGAAACATTATCATAAAACGATACATGTCTTCTGTATATTCTATATTTGACACTATATTTATGCTATAGTTTAAAATTGAGATTTATTATAAAAGTTGTTGAAAATTCTTCACAAGCAATTAATATATTATTCAAAAGTCTGATAATTTTAGTATCTGTAGAAAGTCAATGCATAGAAAACTAATCTCAGTGATATTCTGATGTGCTTAAATTTGTCTTCATAATATTGTAAGGAATGAATTTACTTGACTGATGATCTGAAATGAAGTGGGAAGTAGAAGGAAAATGTAGAGAAAAGAAGACATGAAATTTTTGTAGAAATAATTTTTTTAATTCTCGTTTTATTTTTGTTAATTTTTCTGTTTTGTCAAAATTCAGACATTTTTAAATTAATCATGTCTTCATGAAACATATCACCAAAACTTTGGAAAGTAATTTCATTCTTTTACCACTAGACAGATTAGTCGTATTTTTCCTCCATTTTCATTCTAAACTGTATTATCATTATATATTTTGACAGCTAGCATTTTAAGGCTTATTTGTAAAAAATTTTGTTTGATTTTGTGCAATTGTTTATTTTTTGTGTCCCATCAAATATGGAAGATCGAAAGCAGCATTTTTGGCATATTTTGCTCTTTTATTACCGAAAAGGTAAGAATGCTATTGAAGCAAACTGCTAAATAACAACACATGAAATCACTAAGAGATTAAATCTGTCAAATTGAACTGCTTATGATTGCTTGAAACAAATTGGTTTCGTTTCAAAGCTTGATATATGGGTTCCACATGTTCTTAAAGAGATGCTGTCTTTGGTGAGATTTTAAGGAAATTTTTTTTGGAGCTTTTACCAGACAATTTAACAACTGATTCAAAAGTGTACTGCCATTGAGTAAACAAATTGAGTAATATCATCAAACAGAAAAGGCAGCCAGAATTGATACACCTAAAACACTACACCTGTTTTAGGTGTAGTGTTTTATCACGATAATGTCAAATTTCACACAAGTTTGGTAACTCGTCAGAAACTGTTATAACTTAGATGGGACATGCTATCACACCAACAATATTCGTCAGATTGAGCACACTCAGATTATTATTTGTTTCAGTCTATACAAATTTTTTTTAACTGTAAGACATTTACTTGAAATGACAATGTCAAAAATCACTTGGATCAGTTTTTTGTAAGCAACGATCAAAACTTTTATGAATGTGAAATCATGCTACTACCA